ATATATAATATTAGAGAAGGAGAAATGAATATGTGATAACAGACCGTGTAAGGATATATAATATTACAGAAGGAGAAAATGACTGTTATAGTACTTCCTACTCTCAGTTTCTTCTACAGTAATGCCCTTACACCTTTTCTTTTTCAGGCTTTTTGTAGCATCCTAAACAGAAGGATATTGAAGGGAGCTGATTCTGCTTTGATCCTTATGCTTGTTGTCAAAGCGCTTGGGATTGAAGAGACTGTTGGCTACAATTGACTGTGACAATTAGGAGATGATCAGAGCCCTAGAGTGGAGCACTTAAAGGGTAATTTACATGTCAGTTTGTCGAATAAAAAAAAGATATTCAGCTAAGATTTTTTTCCCCCTCAGAGCCTTGTAAACTGCAATTTGTGCTCTGGTAAGAAAAACCTGGCAGAGGAGTTAGGATAGCCATTTCCATTTGAAAAGAGGCAATCATAAGGCCACTGCTGAGCCTATTGTCCACTAAAAATGCTGATTTGCAGTCAGTGAGTGAAAGAGTGGAACCATCACTAAATAGAACCTTGTGCAAGGTAACTCCCCCTTGGTGGCTTTTTAATGTTGGGTAAAGGTTTTATATACCTTAAATCCTACATTTACTGTCATTATAACATTGTTATGAATGTCCTTTATCATAACAAAAAAATGAATGTATTGAGGGGGAGGTAGGTGGAATGCTAGCTAACAGCAAGTTGATAGACTAACACTGGGTATCTGTTGTTATCAGATCCTTCTTATTCTCTTGCCTTTTGTATGCCATCACAATTTTCTTCTTGTAGCCCTTTGCACTTTGCCATTCAAGCCCTTCCATAACAGTTTTCTCATAGGTTTCCATACTTGTTTACACTCTATTTTACCCATGCTCCCAGCAGATTATTAACATTTTCCACATTTAACCTAGTGGGATAAGTAAAGTGGGAGGGAGGTGACATGAGCAGGTTTAATCCAGAATTTGCTGTTCTCTAACTATTCCATGATTACTGATTGTAATAAATATTGTGTATGTACCAGACTGAGATCAGCACAGTTAAAATAGTTGATTAATTACTGACAAGTATATTTAATTTGTTTTCTCATATTTGATTGGTCTGCTATATCTAGACACTTTGACTGTAGTGTTGTATGTTCTTTATCATGTAAAAATCGCAGTTACTCTGGTGGGTCTGGGCTATAGCGTATGTTATATTATTAACAATAGTTTAGGGAAAGGATATAAGGGGATTTACATAACCCTCAAATATTCGTATGTGCAAATGTGTGTATAATAAGCTTTTCTCTCAGAGATAGCACCAACTCTGCTTTTATGGTGGATCTCCCCAAAAGAAGATCTAGTAATATACAAAATGCCAGTTTTGTGTTACGAGTTAAAATCTTTACTTTTTCATAATTTTGACTTACCCTGCCATTTGCTGTCAAGAGCTAAAAGACATTGCTATTAAAACCCAGAGGCTACACTTTCAACAAATCCCAAGCATGGACACAATACGCCTGATTCTGACCTCCTGGACACTGGCGTAACTCCATTGACTTGACTAGACTCCTGATTTCTGCTGCTGTGAGATAAGAATCAGGCCACATATCTCCATAGGGTCATCCGAGTGCCCTTTCATTAGCTGTATTCTCTACATCCTTAGGCACTAAATATGTTAAACACCAAACAATGAAGCTTTTATTTCTAAATTTGTACTTGCAACATCTTTTAAAGTGACTTCTGTATTTTGTAAAGAAAACTTCTGAAATTCATTCTAAATTGAATGGAGCAATGTGAGCCCCACCCTCCAGTTTTCATTTAGAAATGTATTATTTCTCTCTTCCTTTTTAGCACTGGTTTTCTTGTTTGGGAGAATTATTCAGTTTCATGGAGGAAAAATAACATATAATGCAAGCTGGAGACGTTGGCTTCTGCTCTTACTGTTCTTCGCCCCCCTCAGTCCCCTCTGTGTTTTAAACTTCCTGAATGCCCAAGTTTTCATGTGTGCATGTCTTTCTAACAAAGAGAGATACATAACGAACAAATGAATAAAAGAAGATATTAAGGGCAAACAATATAATGACAGAGGGAGTCTGGGATGTCTTTGGCTTAGCATGTATCTGCAAAATCGAGGCAGTCGTAAATCTGTATCAAAAATCAGGCACAGCAGGAGGTGTTCGTCTCCCAGGTAATGGCTAAATGACGAGCAGATGAGCCATCGTCATATTGATTTAAGCATTTTGTTCCAGCCAGTCACAATTAACTTTGATTTGTTTTTACTTTCCTCTTACAGGTTTGCATTTAAAGCACTCTCAGAGCACTAATTGTATAAAATTCTAGTAACTGCACATTCTCTTGCTAGAGAGGTAATGAATGAATGAATAGGCAGGAATTATTTGAGATTCTAAGCAGGGTTTCTCAGTACACTTCTAGCTCTGACTGAAATTGTTTCTGAAGATGAGCAGGAAGGGAGAAGAAAGTTATACCCAATTGGAAATGGCTTTTAGAAATTCCTTATTTTAGGGATGTGGGCCTTGGCTAAAGAATTCAACAGGAGTGTGTTGGGATGCAAGATTAATTAGGACTTCACTAAACACTTAAAAAAAAAAATAAAGGTTGACAATGTGTACCAAATGAGTTTAACCCCCAGAAAAGCATTTTACAATGTCCATAGAATAATTCTTCTACCTCAAAAGCATCTCAAAAGTGTGAGAAGCTCAAAATGCAGTTAAGAGATGCATCTACTCAAGATACATATTTTTCTTCATCCAGACCTGATCTACATGTAGCTTTTGTACCAATTTAACTTTTTTAAAAATAAAAATAATTATACCAGTATAATGGTGCCTTATAATGATGTAACTTAGTTCCCTAAATTTATGGGAATAATAAGCACCATTTTCCTAGTATAACTGTCTTTGCTTTATGGAGTTGTACCACTTTACCTATAGTGGTTTCAAACCGACTTAGTTAATAAAGCGTGTGTTGAGAAGTCCTTACTATCATCCCATACAATGTACACTTTCCCACTCAACCTGAAGTATGATCCTTTGCTGAATTCTGAATTAATAACACATTGGATATAAGCAGATGACATAATATGCTATTTATTTAATTAGAACTAAAGATTTCAAATCTGATTCAGTCCCAGGGTACACTAGCATGTCAGATCGCCATGCATTTTCTACTGGTGCAATATGTTGACGGAGTAGCCAAATGTTTTTATGAATAAGAGAGCAAAACTCATTGTAACATTTTTCAAACCTAGATGCCTAAAGAAAGTCACCCAAACCCATGAGGCAATTAAATGAATGGCCTGATTTTTCAGAAGTATTGAGTTCCTGCAATTCCCGCTGAAGCCAATAGAAGTTGTGGGTGCTCAGCACCTTTGAAATATCTGATCACTTATTACTGTACCTAACTTTAAGCAATCTCCCTCCACTTTTGTTTTCTTAAATGAGCAACAAAGTTTAAATCAAATTACTGTAGAAGGTCTGCAGGAGTGGGGTATCCCTCCTTTGACAGCTCATGTGGGGGTCCAAAGCAGGACTAACCTCTTTCTCAGGTTATCAAGTCAATGTGTTATGTGTGATGCTGGGAGTTGTACCTGTGTAGGATGTGAGCATAGTGAATGGTATAGCAATGGAGTGGAAGAGGTAGAAAGGCTTTTACCGTTATGAAAAACTTTAGGCACTCTGACTTTCCCTGTCCCGTTCCCTATCGGCCCAATTCACTGTTGTCCTATGGCTCCTTTGCACCCATGCACCTCTCACAAAAGGTCAGAAAAGCAGTTGTGGGAGTTTTCTGGAGGATTGTCCCAACTTTCCTCCTCAGACTCTGTGCTCTCTGCTGCAGTGGCCATTCTGGGGAAGGCTGGTGGTGGGCTGGGAGTGAGGAGGAATGGTTGCGACATTTTTATGTCCCAATGATTCTTTTCTGTTGCAATAACCCATAGGGCTTCCTTAACCTGCACAAGGGTCCAAACAGGTCCCTGCAATTTGGAGGCAAATTCTAGTTTCACCTAAATTCTGAATCTTTTGAGATATACTCATCCCTAGATAAAACTGCCTTTGCAGTAATTTGTTATAGTAGGCTAGGTGATATATTTGTAACTGTTCTTAGGAATAGGCTTCTAAATTGTACAGCATCTTCTTGTGTATGTTACGGCCAAGTCTGGCACATGGATGTCTTGGCCCAATAAAATGTATGGAGCTGCCTAGCCCAGGGGTTCTCAAACATCATTGCACTGTGACCCCCTTCTGCCACCACCCGGGGTTGGGTTGTCAAAGCCTGAGCCTCATTGCCCTGAGCTGGGAGCCCAAAGCTGAAACCCAAGGGCTTCAGCCCCAGGCAGGGGGCCTGTGTAACGTGAGTCCCACCACCTGAGGCTGAAGCCCTCAGGCTTCAGTTTCAAGCCCAGGTGGTAGGGCTCAGGCTTTGGCTTCAGCTCCAGGTGGTGGAGCTCAGGCTTTAGCTTTGAGCCCCAGGAAGTCTAAGCCAGCACTGGTGACCTCATTAAAATGGGGTTGCTACCCACTTTGGGGTCCTGACCCACAGTTTGAGAACCGCTGGTCTAGCCTATGGAAGTTATCTAAGAGGAGAATTTGGCTTTCAGAATCACACTGAAGCTGCTGATATTCTGTCACCCTCAGGATGTGATGGGAGTGATCTGGTCTATGAGTGTCTCCTATGTGTAAAAAGAAATTGCCAATTTACAACAGCTGAAGATCTGGCCTAGATCCATCAACAGTCCTGGAGCTGAGGATCTGGCCTAAATTATTTTTGCTGGGCCTTATTCTGGTCTCACTTACGCTGGAGTAACTCCATTGACTAAAATGGAGTTACGTCTTGTTTATATCAGTGTAAGTGACAGCAGAATCAGGCCAAATAGGTAAAATACATTTAAATTTACAATTAGAATGTTTACTTTTTTTTTAAATAAAGTCATTCTTTATGTGTGGAACATACTTAACAAATGAAAAATCCTCACATGCATATAAATTCACTATTTAGATTGGCCTGCTTTTAATGGTGAACAGTGGTGATGGCATGAATAATAAAGCAAAGTCAGGTGAACAAAAATAAAAGACAACACACTTATTTCTGGTAAAACAAAGGTAGCAGATCACACTTTTATCACTCTCACCCAGGATACATAATCCTACAAGCCTAGCATGCCAAATGGCATGACATTACCACCACTGGCTTATCCAGGGCCTGAGCACTCACATGTTACACTCTAATGATAGGTCTGTATTTTCTGATCTGGCGGAGTTGCCGTTGCCACAGATCTGGTGGTGGGGAGACAGGGAGAAGGTGTTATGCCATTGCAGCTCCATGGCCTGTGGCTGACAGGGGACTGGTACAAGTTAGAGCAGTCCAAAGGGCTGCTCTAAGTTGCCACCAGCTGCATATGGCCCCAAGGGATCATTCTAAAGGCTGAGGATCGCTGGAGTCACATCACATACCAGGAAAGGATGACATAGATCTAATATAGTAGCTCTATGCCACCCAGAGATTCTTGCCATGCTGACTTCATTGGCTCTATGCTGATTTACACCAGCTGCGGGTTTGGCCTTTCGTAATTCCTTTGTAGTAAATTATCCCTCCATTAAATATCTAAATGGAAAAAAAAAGTTCTTAATTAAAAAGCCTGGGAAACTGAACATGTTTCAGTTGTATTTGTCATTAGCTGACAAACAGACAAAAACATGGAAAGATTATGCACTAAGGCTGAAATTCATGCGGCTCAAAGCTACTGCAGAGTGCCATCCAATGTATCAGAGCCACTGCTGTGTATAAGAACTTACATGGCTAGTTTGCACCCCATGCACACGGAGAACTCGGATTGCATGCTAGCTCCACTTAGATCAGTACAGAAGAGAGGAAGGATTGAAGGGTGAGTTGAAAAAAGGGAAGGGACATAGTCAAAGGATCTGCAGTTATGTGGCTTCAGTGGTCACAGAGCACTGTATAGTGTGCGTGCAGGGGTCACAATCCAGGGGTTATTGCAGAGGCTTGTGGGGCTGCCCCCACTCTGCTTGTTAGTGGGGAGGATAGATTTTGTGTACCCAGTTCCCATACACAAAAGCTGTTCCCTCAGACTTTATGCAAGGACTGTGTGTGTGAATCTTACTTTTAACACGTGCTAAATAAAAACTGACTTCATAATGCATGCACATTTCCTAAAAAGAATACAGGCTTTAACACACATATGAAGAAATATTAATTTGTCTTTATGGGGAACTTGATTTTGTTATATGTCGAATTAGATTATTAGAGTTTTCTTTTGGAATAAATAGAGCAAAAGGTGGAGTTTTGTTAATTGTCTGAACCAAATTCTGTTCTCATTTGCATTATTGTAAATCTGGAGTAATTCCATTCAAGCCAATGGTGTTACTCTAAATTTACAAAGGTGTATTTGAAAGCAGAATTTCTCCCTCACACTTTTGAATCCTGATCCTTATTTCCATGAGGCCCCTTTGTACCATTCTGACAGCATAAAGGGGTCTTAAAGTGGTTCAGGGTGGTGCAAAGTGGCCTTAACATACATGAGAATTAGGTCCTCTGTCTTCAACAGATGCGTGCTCAAACTTGTTAAAAAGATTTTTTTTATATATCTTACTTACTGTATACATACATCTCATAAAATCCAGCAGTGGAAGTCCAGTAGATTTATTTCATTTAGATAACTCAACGTAGGCTTTTGTTATGTTCCATAATGATAACAAGGTGTTAGAATCACAGAAAGTGCAACTGCAGATTTCTACTTGGTATGGTGCCAGGAACAGAAGGGTCAAAAGAACCTGCAGATTTATGTACTTTTAGTTGGATTTTTACTATCAGATCTTTGGCTCTCCAATAATTCAGAACCAGATTCAGATCTCATTTATTCTGGTGTAAATCTGACAATGGATTTACACTGCTGTCAAACCAAGCTGTGTGAGAAGAGGCTCAAGTCCTGTATATCCAATTGCGTTTGCAATTCTTTAGATACTGTTTAAATTGACGAGAAAATTAGCTTTGGTATTCTTGTATTCATGCTGAAAATATAAGGGAAAATAGGATTATTATTATTAATCAGTAGTGGAAGTCAAGTGTCTATAAAGTTTGATATGGATATACTTAAATTACTTTCATACAAGACCCTAAAGTTCATATTAATTCATGTGTTTTTCTTTAATCACTGATTTGTAAAAAGTGTGGAATTTTTTTTTTAAATGAATAGTTAACTTTTGGCTTCTCCCTTGAAATACAAAGTATATGTCAGAATTTGGAAAATGTTGACAAAAGATTACTAAAACCTGTAAAGTGAAGTTGCCTTTCAGATGAGTACGTTATATTTGGCCATTTGTGATGGTCAGCAACTGCTGTTGTATTTTTTAAAAAAATTGCTACCATATCTCTACATTTTCATCAGCATCTCCAGCATAATTTGGTATGTATTACCTCTGAACTGTAAATTACACATTTCCGGGAACTTCGGACCAAATTCTTAGCTGGTGTAAATTGGCATAGTTCCATGGACGTCCACAAAACTTTGATGATTTACACCAGCTGAGCCCTGGGTTCAGCCCTTCACCCAGCCATTCCAACTGCATATATTTATTCTGAGAAAAATATTTTCACAATAAAAGGACATATTTATGATGATTCAAATTCTTTTTTCTTTGGTATTTTTTCTCTTTTGCTGTTTACCCAGTAAGGAAATAAGCTGCTATTTTCAAACCACAGTGTCTCTTTTCACATCCTTTATAGAATCCCTCTCTCCCAAAACAATTAAAAATAAAACCAAGTGACATTCTGAGTGTGTCAGGATCACGAACCAGGTAGGGAGCATGTGGAAGGAAGAGAGAGAGATGTGTGCAGTCTGTCCTTGCCACCATTTTGTTGCAGCTCTAGAAAGCAGCAAATGGTGGATATTGTTTCATTGCAGAGTATGGTTTTGTACTGGATCCATCTGCAAAGAATAAACATGTCATCAGTCCTCATTTGCTGTATCAAAAAAAAAAAACATTCCCCATGTCCATATTTGATTTTCAAGTGCATCTGTGCACTGATTGAAACCCTCCCAACATGCTGCTACACAAATGCAAAACCCACACATTTCTTATTTTGAATCAAGCACTGTTATGCTCCTGCACTCCTGTTTCAAAGTTTGCTTGAGAGTTGCAGTGCGTGCCCTTTTAACACATTTTTTCTTACTGAGAGATCCCGGTGTTAATCGTAAGAGCGTGGTGCAGTCTTTCCATTTTGTTCTTATTTTTGTCTTTGGAGCCAGCTTTCATTTTCACAGTTTATTTATCCTTTATTTACAGCCCACATGTGCTTTTAAGCAAATAGGAAGTATAAGCCTGAGTTTTAATTTAGGAATTTCTGGTAATTAATAAGTTGAACTACATGTAGCACTGACTTTACTATCAGTGTAGAATGTAAAGGAAAGAGAAAAAACAATACCACATTGAACCACAAAGTTCCTAAAAAAGGATGAATCTGATATAAAATATCATGGAATATTTTTCTTTTAATGGTGATTAAATTGTTAGATTAAAAAACAAGATCAGTGCAAAGCTGTAATTTTAGAGAGAATTTTGTTGCACCTAATTATTTTGTGCAAGCCCAAAGTCCAAGAGTTACCTTAACTGCGAAGCTCTGTAGTAGCCTTTGCCTGTCATTTTTAATCAGGTTGTTTTAGGTAATTTTTGTTATGCCCCTCATTACTGAATTGTTTATCAATAGGTGCACCAAGTGTCACTAGCTTTTCTCATCAAGCCAGGTCTGACAAAGAGCTGCAGTGCATGGGAAAGAGGCAGCTAGGTGAAACTAATGCCATAGATGTTTGATTCATTAGGAGCTTATTGTTAACGGGGATGTCTGATTGTAAAGGCTCAGTCAAGCAAAAGAGTGCAGAGTAATCAGTCGGATTTATAGTTTGCAGGGCTCAAAAAAAAAAATCAACATAAACCTTTGGATATGGCAGAAACAGAAAAATCCCCTTTGGGCAGCCCTAACCTGAGACCAGCCAAATAAGGTCATGCTACATGAAGGTTGCCTGTTAGGTGATGGAAGATATAGGAGGATTAAAGCCATATGGCATGGCCTATCATACCTTCTGACTTAAGATAACAAAGCCAAGCTTTGTGCTTAGCTGTTTTTGACTGACATCATCAATTTTATTTTATGTTGGTCACCTCCGGTAACAGGAAAAAATGGCCTAGGGTTGATAACACATGCCTGGTTTTTTTAGTATTAAGATGCCTTACAGCTAGTTTTGTGCTGTAAAAAATTTCAAAGAATTAGTAGCTTGTTCTTCTATCAGCCATCCTCCAGCAACTGTCAGCCTCCCCACCCCCCCTCCCTTGTTTTCAGTTTGTACCTTGCAAATGAGAGACAGCCGTATTCAGAACCAGATGTAAGGCTCCTAGAGAATGAGCGTAAGCTGTTGTACTTTAAGCCTAATGGGAAGTTTTATATGCAAGGGCCTTGAACTGATTAGTATAATTCCCTCTTTAATACAGCTGTCCCTCCAGATTAAGGTAAACCAAATGTTGCAATCAGAGATTAGTGTACCTTGCCAGTTATTAACATCCCCGGTTGCTCAGCAAGCACGTCAGACACTAATGCTGTGTATTTATTTGCTACTTCCCCACTGTAACTTGAACTTCTGCACCTGTCAACGCATTCCAGGGAAGAGAGGGGTATTATTGGAAAGCAAAAGTTTTATACCTGTTACACCTGGTTTGGTTTGTCACAGCCTAAGATTTTCTTCTTTTCTTGCCAGGATTGCCAGGTGGTTTAATCCGTTACTCTGCTGGTTTTATGAAAAAAGTCTTTGTATGTGAAATTGCATTTGTTACTCTCATCTGCTCTCTCTGTTACCGAAGCTGAGCTACTCACCTAAACTGGGCCTTTTCTTTCCTTTCCCTTCTGTAAGGGAGGTTGTTTTTTTCTTCTTCTTTTTTTCTGTGTAGAGGATGCAGCACTGGGCTAGAAGAATCAGCACCCACTCCTGCTGTGCTCTAATCAGTTAGTGGTGCCTCTCTCACAAGGTGGGTCACACAGTTGCCTTATTACATTTGGCAGGATATCCTGTCCACCAGCAACACAGATGTCAAGAAGGACAATGTCCTGGCTATCGCAGAAAGATCTTTGCTCCCCCCTCGACCCGGTCTGATTTTACAGATAATGTATACCGTAAACATACTTTAAAAGCTAAGAGGGCTGAGTGTCTCTTGTGCTGTGTGTAGGAAACCAGTAAAGTCAGGACATTCCAAATAACTATCTCTCTAAAGCATTTAATTAATTTGGCAGATGTGTTAAAATAAGTGTAAATAACATGAAGTTTGGGGGCGGGAGGGAGAGAAAGAGAGAGAAAGACTTCATATATAGAAGAAAAGGCTACCATGAAGCTATCAACTTGTTTTACTATGAAAACTATCTGCATTATCTGAGGATAGGAGGCAAAACATTAAAATGAATAGCAGAAGACAAGTACATGCCTTTGCTAAGAAAATAACACACTGTTTAAGCATTCCATTGTTTACATATTGAATTCAGGATTGAATATCAACTATAGTTTCTGAGCTGTTACTGTTTCCTAACCAAGATTATGCTAAAACTTTTCTTACTTAATAGGTTCCTTCTTAAATAGATAATTGACATAAGGTAAAAGGACCATTTTTAGCACACTCCCCTTACAGCACTGGGTTTGCAAAGTTCATTGCCTGTTGTACACTGTCTGCACATTATAGCTTAATTGCAGATTTTTGAAAAGACAAAATATGTTCATATCTTAGGAATTATGTCTTGCAGCCTACTAAATATGCTAATGCAGTACTAAGCAGGGATAAAGTTCTTGCCATACCACCCAACAGTTGCGTGGGACACGCTGCCAAGTTATTGTTAATTGTAAAGCACAAGCAGGCTTTGCAATCCATCTTAATTGTCATACTTACTTCAGGTTTTGTGATAAGGCTAGATGTTCTGTTTAAAGTGACAGTGTTGACAAGGGGAAAGGGTGTGGGCCTGAGCTTGTGGTTCTAGAGGGGTTATGTGTTCTGACCTGCCGTAGGTTGATATGGACAGTCTGCAAGGGGATTTTAGTTGTCATGGGGTCCCCAGGCAGTTGAATAGAGTGACTGTCTGTCCTGCTTTTTCCTGTTAGGATCCTGACACGTGGAGCATTGATGAACTCAGCATAACGTTGAATAGGAGCTTTTTGGCAGCTGAGACACAAGGGCTAAGCTGCAGGTCAGAGATAACACTAGTGCAGATCTCCTCATGCACACAGTTAGTAGCATGCTTTCTTCCCTCCTGAGTGCAGGAAATAGCTCATGTTAAATACGTTCACTTTTCAGTTTTCCTTTCTTCTAAAATGGAGCTTGACAGATTGGGCTTTTCAGCTCCCCCTTTTTTTCACCACCTCTGCTTTCTACCTCAGAAATACTCTTCAGGAAGCAGGAGTTAATCTTGGTGAGGAAACGATAAGGTGATACTTGATTTTCAGGGGAAAGCAGAAGGATATGACTGCTTAGTAACTGCACAGAAACGTACAGGCCTCTCTTTTTAAGGTTTTCCTTTGCTTTTCCTTTCACATCCCTTAAAGTTGAGAACTGCAGCAGACTGAAGGCCTGGTTGGTGGGATGCAAGAATAGTTTAAATAGAATCTGGACTAGGAAGGAAGTGTTAGGAAGGTACATTGATAAAACAGCTTCCCTGTACTTTTCTATCAGCTAGTAGGATCAGGTGAATTGGGTCGTTAGTTTTCCTACTTTGATGCATTCTGGCTGGCACAGAAATGTGTCTTTTGAAGTTGTTTCATACTCAGCCAAGTTTTTCACATGATTCCAAATACTGGATAACAAAGAGAGAGAGCATGAACATTGTCTTTGTTAAATGATGTCAAGCCAGCATCCTGTATATGGAGACAATGTAAAAGTTTTTGTCTGTTTTTGGCATTAGGATTAAAACTGCACTAAAATGCTTACATTAAAAGGTCTTGAATATGACAGAGATTTGGGAGCTTATTCTTTAATAAGTGAGTGTGTGTGTGTATGCGTTGCTCATGAACGATAACGATTGAGGCCCTCACCAGTGTGCTATAATCATGCCATGGAGAGACCACCTATTCTCAGTGCCCATTTAGTCCTTGGTCTTTTTGCTGAGACTGACAGCAAGAATGTTAGTTCAGAGCAATTGTGATAGTGGATTTGCTGTTGACACCTGTCCAGTGGGAGCTGGACTGAGACCACAAAATTCATTTCACTGAGCAAGGTGTTGGACTACTAAGAAAAGTGAAACTATAGGAAAGTTCTCTCTACTATATACCTGAATGTATTCTTTTCTTCCCTACAGGCTCAACTCTGCCTCCTGTACCTGCGTGCAGCAGTGCCTTTCTCTGTGAATAGTCCCATTAATTTAAATGGGGCTATTCACAGAGGAGAGCACTGCTCAGCATGAGTAAGGATGGAAGAATTGGGCCCTGACCCTGCAGGCTTTTCCATACGGGTGGATTCCTGCACTCATGTTTAGAGCTCTGGTGACCTCATTGGGTCGCTGTGCTGAATAAGGATAAGGCCTAATACTGTGTATGTATGTGCGTGTATTGTTCCTATTGATATCAATAGTGATGTGGGAACAGGGAGAGGAGAATAGACATAAATACTGTATGAGCTACAGTTCTGATCATCTTTTGATACTTGGAATTATTTTACTATTTGCCAATGAATGGCTTGAACAGTTTTTTCGGAGGGGTCTTTTTCTTTGATTTTTAAGAAAAAGAAAATGGGTGAAAAAAATGACTCAGGAACTATTAACTCTTACTTTTATGTCTTGCTTATGTTAAGTGCATAGGTTGAAGTGTGTGATCCATAGATGAAGTGCTTCTATTCTTTTCCTTAGAGTAACTTCTATGCCTATGGTTGGTTTACTCTGAGGGGAAGAAGAGGCAGAGAGTACAACAGTTTATGCTGTTTTGTATACAAGGACTAATTTCCAACTGCTTTAGGGTGGTTTCAGTTTTTCCTTGGAAAGCAGCATTGGGAGCTATATGTACTTTCCTGGTTAACTTGTGAATCATTCTAAAGTTTATATTAAAAGAACTATGATAGTGCTAATATTACCACAGAGCTGAGCTTGGTCTTTCATTCCAGAAGTTAAGTCACTGGACAGGGAGTTAGAAGATCTGGCTTTTGTTTCCAGATCTGCTGCAACTTCCTGTAGGACCTTGGGCAAGTCTCTTAATCTCACTGTATCTCAAGCTTTCATCTGTATCACGGGGAAAACAATATTTCCAACATCTCAAGGAGGGTTGGGAGGATATATTAAAGAGGGTCTGTAGGTGATCAGATATTAAAGTGGTGCACACCAGAGAAAACCCATAAAATAAATAAATTAATAGATCTCATGATGCAGTACCTCCCCTTGACTGAGTTTGTATATATGGGTTTCAAATGGTTAATGATAGAATAAAACCCAACTGACATGAATCAGTCTCTGGTGAGTGTAAGCCTGAATTGGGCAAGGAATTTTCTAGTGCAGTAATAAAGAAGGGGAAAAAATGCAACAAGTTTTGTAAACAGATGTCGAGGAGTGCACACAGAAAGAGCATGTCTGAGAAATCCTAAAACACAACATTAGGTTAGGGCAAAACAACATTAAAGACTTAGATGCCACATGGTAGAATTATACTAGATTTTGAATCTGTGTGTAAGAACACAGACTTTGTTTGTTTTGTAGATGTTGATGAAGAAAGTATATTTAATAAACCAGCTAAGAAAGAGGAACTTGTACTGAGACAAGAGCTTGTTCAATTAAATAACTCAGTCTAATTCACGGAACATAGCAGATGACTGTCAGTTCAAGAAAGCAGATGACCAAATTGCTTAGAAATGCTGGAATGTGCACAAGCGCACGCGCACACACACACACACAAATATATATGTGTGTGAGAGAGCTCACTTCGCTTTCATTAGGAAGATGGACCAATCTATTTGCTTAAGAGAACTGCACTAAGAAATATCAGTGTTTTAGTGCTTCAAAAGGATGCCAATCTACTAACAAATACAGGAAAATCTAGGACCTTTATTGTAAGTAAAATGTGCTGTCCATATCTAGGAAACAGAATGTAAGCTCTTTGGGCTACATGCTGCAGTTAGTTACTTTTAGGGGGAGAAAGAAAGTTGTACACTATGAAATCCAAGATCAGGAAGCCCCAAGTAAATAAAAATTATCTAAGGCTCTTTGTTACCGGTATTTACCAATTTCCCCGCAATTTCCCCAGTTTTTGAAAGAGTCAGTATTCAAGTTTTACCCATTTTTCACCTGAACGTGTGCTTTTCTGGGATCTGGGAATTTTTTTGCTGGGGAAGTGAGTGGGCCACATTGAAGGCCTGGGGTCAGGAGGAGGCTCTTCCGGCAGGGGGGGTCAGTACTCAAGAGTTGCAGCTTTCTGTTCCCCTCCTGGCCCTTCAGTTGGACCCTGTTCACTTCCTTTGTGTAGTGGGGAGTGAGACAAGCAAGGTCCCAGCAGCTGAGACCACCAAACCACTGCTGCATGGAGTGGAAGGCTTCCTCAACTGCTACATGGTGAGTAGCCCTCTTTCCCCCTCTATGGGTACTGGGCCCTCTCCCTCCAGTGCCCTTCATTTTTGGTTTTACTAATTTCCCCCGCACCCTCTGGGTTTTTGCAATTTTTAAATAAAAAACCCCTGAAAATGAAGGACCTTAAAAATGTCTAAACAGCAGTCAAAAGAAAATGGTGGTAGATGCTCAATGGCTATGGAAGAGTTAAGAACCTATAAGTGCATCCATTTCTTCACCCAGTTCTTTTATCAAAAATCTTTTACCCACTCTTATCTGACACCAACATTTTGTTTAACCTATGAGAATATTTCCGGGGAGAAAACGCCCCAAGCAACCAAATCACTTATTATTTTTATGAAAAGAGTGGTGAAGCTTTACAGACAGAAAGATAAGGACCCTGCCCACAAAGAGCTTACAATCTGAATTTTAGATATGGCCTAATGAAAGAGGGTAACAAACAGTAGAGAGGGACTGATGGACAAAGATTACTGTCATGCAATCATATGGTTACTCAGTTTAGGCATGCTTGCATCTTGACAGTTCAATTATGGTTCTTGTATGTATCTTTATAATGTGAAGAGAATGACTGTTCCTCTCTGTCAGGTTGATGTGCAGAGGATCTGTTCCCTAGAAGAGGGTGGGTGAACTAGCTCGGTTGACTACATACACTCTAGTAATCCTGATACTATTACTTTTCTTTCTTCAAAGTCACTGCCTTATCATCATCCCTGCAGGTGTCACTGCACATAGTGGGCCAAGTTTTGCCCTCAGCTATACTGGATTCCAATAACATCATTGCAATTATTCCAGATTTACACGATGTAGCTGAGAGCAGAATTTGCCCCATTTTGTTGCTAGAAAAAGGGGATCCACTCTATGGGACATATTCTGATCTTGTTAAGTTGGTCTGGAATAATTGCATTGCTTCTAAAGAACTTTTTGGATCTGCAAAGGTGTAAACAAGATCCGAATCTATCTCTAAGTCTCTGTATCCCAAAATAAGAAAAATGAGTTCTGAAGACACATGGGGCTGGGATCCTAATGGGAGATCAGAATGTATTAATGGATGATCTATAACTTTTGTATCTCAAAAGCAGATCAATGCTAATGAAAATTGCTTTGGAACAAGATCATTTACTATTTCATTACTTTGAAGTCTCATGTGGGCCAGTGGTTCTTACTGAAAAGTGCAGAGTGCGTTCCTGCAGGTCTCCCAAATCCTACAATGTCTCCTGGTCCCCATTGGGCGCACAATACATTATAATGGACAATCTGGTGGACCTACTGGAATGGACCTCTCATGAGGGCTGACGTGGGTAAGCTCAAACATAAATAGGAAGCAGCATTTCCTCTGCATTGTCTGAAGTTAGTGTATTTGTTCAAGAAAAATTATAATATGCTAATAATCCAGATAAATGAATCACAGTTCTCCATATCTAAAAAGTGAACCTTTGACCCAACACTGTTATGTCTAAATTGCAATTCTTAATATTCAGTATAGTCAGTATAGGGCCCTGCAGGCTAAAGTATCTTAAGGGTTCAGATCTCTTTAAATAAATCTATCTTGTTTTGTTTGTTCTTTCAGTTGGAACAACTGGATGGAATGTGTGTGTGTGTGTGTGTGTGTGGGGGGGGGCTAGGTATCAGAAATGTTAGATTCTAAAGGGAAAGACAGGATGGAAAGTGCCTCTCTTGGAAATACTTTCATCTGCTGACAATTAAATAGCAGTACCAACACCTCTCAGGGCTATGAGGTATGACAAACTAACTCTCAGCAGCAGTAGCATTGCTGTACTTCTTTCACTAGTGCTCTTAAACCTGGGTGAGTTTTATGAGGGGCATAATCACACATAGTATATAATTTTCTCATTCCTTGTTTGTTTACTATTTTGTTAGCTTTAAAGAAGGACAGTAGAAGGAGAAATATCCCTCAAATGATGGAGAGGAAATGGGTGAGTGTGAGAGACCTTCACAATTAAATCAATCTAAGCTTAAAAAAACAACCAATGAATTTGTTTTTGTGTGCAATGCTAGTTGCCTTGCCAGTCTGAAGCTGGCACTGTGGGTTTGCTGTAATCACTGAGCTGAGAAAGAGACACTAGGTTTTTTTTTTTTTTTTTTTGTTCATCACAAAGTCAAGCAAGACTTAAGCAGTTGCATGCATAACACTTTTCTTGCTGCTTTCAACTGCCAAGCTTTGTTTCTGGCTTCCAAATGCTTGTCCCCTCACCACTCTCAATTTCATTTTTGACCCTCTGCTACTACTGTGATTTAAATATCAGTATTCATTTTGAAAACACTTCCTTTAAAAAAGGGGCTTTGGTTAAAGTCAATTAAATGTGTAAGTCTGCGTGTGGATTCTTTTCCTGAGGCTGTCTCTGTCTTTTTCTCCCCTCCTCCCCCCTTTTTTTTGTCCCATGTATTATTTCTCATTCTGAGCCAGTTGTCAGGTAGATGGGTGGTACAGATTCAGAATGGCATCTTAAGTTCAGTACAGCATGACACATTGGCAAATTTCCAGAATAAGAATTTTTGGACACTGCAATATACTGCAGAGTGACGAGTTCAGCGTGGGGTCGCTACATAAAGTAGCTCAAAGAAAAATAGAAACAAAAGTAGATGAGGGAAGAAGCAACAAGATGACAGATAGCAATACAGGGGAAAAATTACTTTCAGCCAACCAATCAAGATTAGAATATTTTCATCCTTGGTACCAATACTCCTATAGCACTGAAACAACAGCTTCAGAAGGCCTGTGGTATCAAATATTTGATGTATGGTTGTTTGTAGACCAGATAATGAGATCACCAAGACTTTCTTTCACTTTAAGGAACGGAGTTTCTGTCCCGCTTGGCTTCCTTGGTGCCATTCAGGAAGCACAAAGGGAGTTCAGACTGGCTGTATCCCACAATCTGATTCCCCCAGCAGAGATCTGGTGTAGCTGGCTTCCATATCCCCTTCCCCACAGCTCTAATTGCACAGGACACGTCAGGGACAAAGAGGAGTGTTTTGGGGGTGGGAAAGAGGTGTGACTGAAATGTGTTGCACTCCAGCTATACTTGACTAGTAAACCTTTGCCAGTCAGCCAGCACATTTGAGTTGCTAATTTGTTCCCAACTTGAGTCTTATAGCCCCATGCTGGCCACAGCAGATAATCTGGCCCTAATGGCGGAAAATTTATCCACAATCTCTCTGAAGTGTGATGATGTAGCTAAAGCATTGGACTGTGAGTTATTAGAGCTGGGTTCTATTCCCAGCTCTGCCCTTGACTTCCTATGTGACTGAGCCAATCACTTCATCTCTCAATAACTTAATTTTCTTGGGGACAATAGTGCTTGAACACCTTTGTATGGTGCTTTGAGATCCTTAGATGGAAGTTGCAATTAAAAGTGCAATGTGTTATTAAAGTCAGACTTGAGGGAGTAGCAGACTGATCTGCAAAAGGATTCACCTACCTAATTTGTGCCTGAGGCCTGCGATTTTTACATAACTTACAGTGACAGCATTGTGCACATGCCCAACTCTGAAAAAAGGAATGTGAAATCATCATAATCAAATGCTGTAGAACAAAGTATCTGCTGAAAATTGTTGCTAAGCTGAGGGTTAATGAGTTTGGCACAAGCAGAGACTATGTGCATGAAGTCAGTTAAAAGGGAATACGGGCATACATGAAAATGGCAACATGCTGGGAGTGTGTGTCTGCATGTGCCTGAATTAAGAGAGATGAATGGGGAGCAGGCATGTCAATAAACTGAGAAGCTTCTGGAAGATACATGAGGTTATCATAAAAGACAAGCACATTGCTCCATGGAGAGCTAGAGATAATGGCAACTTCCTAAATTTTATGTAGGAAGGAAAGAGGTGGCTTCATAGCTGTTTGTGAATGAAACAGAAAAGCCACTATTCTAGAAGACACTTCAGGAGGCTTAAGTAGAAGAAACTGAGAGCAAGGATGTCTGAGAGACGGAGCCCTAAAACTGACAAACACAACACTTGCTATCCCAGACTTGCCAGGAGACTTTGGGGACCAAATCCATGATGCAATGCACGGCGAATGTTCAGTCAAGTGGAAGAGGTACTCTTGCATTGTGAGGGTAAAAGGTAGGCCACAGCTGGAATTTAATAGGACCTGTTAGTTCCTAGTGGACAGTGAACCTGGAGTGACAGTGATGGGTGGGTGCCAAGGGAACCAACTGAGCTTCCATTTCTGAGAGTTTTTCACCAACTTGGCTTGGCGACTGTGAAAGGCCATTGGAACAGTGAGGGGAAGTAGAGAAAAGGCGAAGACTGGAAGCTTTCCTGAATCTGTGTGAGTATTTTTGAGAGCATCCAGTTTCCCCCCCTTGGTGGACTCGTCCTTCCACAGCTCCTCCAGAATGATTTGTTCTTCTGGTTCCAAAGAGGGCTTCCTCTGTGGCATGGGCCTTTCAGTGCTTGTTTTTGAGCCAGCTAGATGGGGTGGCACAAGAGCAATAGAAGACATTCTTCTTCTGTGAGGGGCTGAGCATGTTGCCCTCCTTCTACCCATACTTTGTGAGGGTAGAAGGAGGGAATCACTACAGTACTGCCACTTCTTGCCAACCCAGGAGCTTGGGCCCAAAATAAATTTTATCACTGAAATAAGACAGTATGAAGCTTTAACTTTCTTCACAGTTAGAGAAATCATTCCTACAGAATATCCGACATGGGGTTGGATGACATAGATGTCAGTGTTGTGAGCCTACACTGATCCTGAAATGCACTATCTTAGGTCCCAGTCCAGGAGATCAGTTAAGCACATACTTAACTTTAAGCATGTGAGTAGATCCATTGACACCAATGTGACTGCTCAGACGCTTCATGTTAAACATGTGCTTAAATGTTTTGCTGGACTGGAGCTTCATAACACTATTTTTTTTTTTAAATGGAGACTATAGGTATTTCACCAAAAGTAATTTAGAGGCCTCTAAGCAGTCTTTGCTAATGAGTTTTGAGTGGTATCTGTAGTTTACTACCAATATTGGTCTTCCATTGTATTTTGTTGGAGAAGGGGTTATTGGGATGTATGGGCTGTTTTTCCCCTCTCTTTTTAAGGTGTTCTGTAGTATCTTAAATAATATTTTGATATTGGGAAAAATTTATTATTAAAACAAAGAATCATAAATGTGTCAAATAGTCCCAGTCCAGGGATGGGCAACTGGTGGCCCAGGGGCTGCCATATCATTTTATTTGGCATGCCCATAGGCAGAGTCACAGCCCCAGATTTTTATTTATTTATTTATTTAAGATTGAGCTGGATTGCTTAGGGTCCAGTCTTTTAGTAAAGCTGCTGCTTCCTCAGACTGCTGTGCTCGGCTGTGCTTCTCCATCAACACAGGCTCTGACTCCACCTCACACCACGCAGCTCCATTTACTGCCTCCCTGTTGGCTGATTGTTTGGGAGCTGAGAGCCAGTCAGGTTCTGGCTAGGCCCACCCAGTAGTGGGCAGGTTGGGGCACATCTCCACCAATGGGGAGGAAGTAACCAGAGCTGGGTGGTGTAATGGTGGAGTCTCTTTCCTATTGGCATAATGGAGGGGTGGCCAAACCAAATCTGAGTGGCATTGCGACCCAACACATGGGGTCCTGCTCCCAGTCCTGGACTCCACCCCACATGGCAGAGCCTACGTCCATGGGAAAATAGAGTGGAGGCAGAGACTGGGAGCAGGTGAGAAAAAACGTTAAGAAAGATGTTCTGATGTTTTGTTTTCATGTATTAATTCTCTGCACATCGGCAGAGAATTAATCCCTTTTGTTTAAATCCTTTTTAAGGTTGTGCAATAAGGGATTTTATATTTAAGAACTTCAATTTTGCACTGTTAATTCATGGTTAATTGTATGTTAACATGCCATATTGTAGCAAACATTTATGAGTTATGTAATATGTAGCCACTTAAAAAAAGTATGGCCTGCCAAAGGGTTTTAGTGGATTTTTGTGGCCCTGTGCTGCTTTAAAGTTGCCCATCCTTGTCCCTAATCAATCCTAGGGCAATCAGAGTGAGGCATTGTATTCTGTAGAAGATGAGGATTGATAATGTCACTGCTGGCTCGTGTGTGTGTGTGTATATACACCTCTACCCCAATATAACGCGACCCGATATAATGTGGTAAAGCAGTGCTCCGGGGAGGGGGGGGGTACTGCGCACTCTGGCGGATCAAAGCAAGTTCGATATAACGCGGTTTCACCTATAACGCGGTAAGATTTTTTGGCTCCCGAGGACATTATATCGGGGTAGGGGTGTATATGAATTTTAGCAGTACAGTGATTCCACTTCTCTGGCCTTCTCCAGTCGCCCATGGAGATAAAGTTTCAATGAGGATCGATGCCTGATGCACTCACAATTGTGGAAACACACATAATTTAAAAAACTAGCTTCAAATGTCAATATTCATTTTAATAGCTAACACTTTCTGAGTTTTTCTCTCTCTCTCTTACAGTCATGAGAAGGCCAGCCCTACCGGAAAGCCCTGCTTTAAAAGAAGGAATTATTCAGACTAAAGGAGTGGTTTTCCTAAGCAACCAGATCAAAGTGAAAACTCTCAGAATAGCTCACTCACAGGTTTCCTTTTGCACATAGGTTCATCAAGAGTGTCAGGCACTTGGTGGGCAGTTCATACTCCTCTGACAAACTACAATTTGGTGGGAAACTTCACAAGAACCCACGGTATCAGTAAGCCCTGCAAATATCTTGGGATCTCTCTTCTTTTTTAAAAAGACTTTAAAAATAATTTGGTGGATCTCTAATCTAGTTATCTGCTGTAACTGCAATATACCGTGTATGTCTGACTCCCACAGACAAAGGCCTCTGTTTCCTTTCTGCCAGTACCTTAGTATCTGCCTTGCCCAGGAGTCTGCTGATGAAGACTTCCTGTTTGTTTTGAGTCACTGTTGGAGTGATAAATATACTTCAGCTTTCTCCTCAGAGAGGAAAGAAACCAGCTGCCCTGAACTAAAGAGAAAATATGTAGAAATTCCACCAAAGGGCCCTGTTATCATGGAGCCTCTATGGAAGCATAAAACCAAGAAATATAAGCCACGACAAAGGAAACAATTTACATACTAAAACATCCTTCTACATGCATTGACATAAGTTGTTTGCCTTTAATCATTTATTTTCACTCTATAACTCTAATTTAAAACGGATTATAAATAAATAAATAAATGCACGGGGGGGGGGACGGGGACGGGGAACGGACACCAACCCCATAAACATACACTACACAGTAATGTTTGGCTAGATAAACAAACAATTATACTTGTGGTTTCTTGATCTGACCACAAGCTTTAAATGCCATTTTTTGCATGAACCTATAATGCTTCTGGATAAACAATTGTGTTTATATTGTCAGGAGTATCCAGTGCAGTGTTGTGTAATTTCTATGTGTGATTACCAGGATATAGAATAAATTCCCAAATAAAAGAAAGGAAAGGAAGATGAGATTATTAGGTCATTTTTAATAAAAACAGCATCGTTTGGAATCACTTATAGCTTAATTTGTAATTTTAAAAGAATGCAGCAGTGGCTTTTAAGTTTCTGCAATTATCTTTTCATCTTTTTACCCTTTTTTTTTTTAACTAGAGATGGGGCCCAAAAACCTGGATCCAAACCCAAGATTCTGGTTCATATCAGAGTTCACAGCGTTAACCTAGTTCTTTAAGAAGTCAGCTCTAGGAACTTCAGTTTTGGATTGTAAACCTCCAAGTTCAGAAGCATTTGAATCCAGGTGTTTGGGTGCTGCCGGCTATAGGAGTACAAAGTTTGTATCTTCATCAGTGTTTGTGGTCTGGGCCTGTGACACCCTCTGAAAAATGTAGGTGTGTACGGTGTGGGAATGGGGGTGGTTAGCCAATGTGCTATGACTGATAATGATACCGGGGAGCCCAAAGAACAGCTTTGAGAAATAGTGTGGGCTAGTGGTTATGGGCACTGGAGTAGGGGTCAGGAGACTTGTGTTCTACTCCTAGCTCTGCTACAGACCTGCTGTTGAACCTTGGGCATGCCATTCACCTCTCCATGCCTCTACACTGCAATTAAACCCCTGCAGCTGGCCTATGTCAACTGACTTGGGTTTGCGGGGCTCAGGCTACAGGGCTGTTGAATTGTGAGGAGGGAGGGTCCCAGAGCCCAGGCTCCAGCCTGACCCCAAGCATCTGCACAACAGTTAAGCAGCCCTGTAGCCTGAACCCCACAAGTCGAGTCAGCTAGGGTGACCAGATATTCCGATTTTATAGGGACAGTCCCGATTTTTGGGTCTTTTTCTTGTATAGGCTCCTATTACCCCCCACCCCCGTCCCGATTTTTCACATGTGCTGTCTGGACACCCTAGTGTCAGCTGACATGCATTTATTTGCAGGATAGATGCACCCTCTGTTTCCCCTCCCACCCTTTTTCTGCCTTGTCTATTTAGATTCTATGCAATTTGCAGCAGGGACTCTGTGTTTCTACAGTGGCTAGCATAATGGGTCCCTGATCTTGGTCAAGGCCTCCAGGCACTACTGTAATACAAATAATGAATAATAACAAATGAGAAGACATTCCAGGGTCAGTGGGTTTGTCCAGTCAGAATCTGCAAGGTGTACACTCCACATTCCAGGATCCCACAAAGTGTCCCTCTCATGGAAGAATCAGAAAGAAACTTTGACCTTCAGATGGTGGTATTTTCTTCTCTCTCCTCTTTTTTATTTTTATTTTAATTTTTTATTTTAATTTTTAGGCATGTGACCCTGGATTATTTGTAAGGGGGGATGGGGTTGTGTGTGCCAATGTCCACATTATTTGGGGTGGATGAAGGGAATAAGTTTCTATTAAAAAAAGGCACACAAAAATCTCTGCTTTGGCTAAATAATAAAGGCACACAAAAATCTCTGCTTTGGCTAAATAATATTTGAATTACCATTACAAGAAAGGAGAACCTTATTTTTCTTACATTTTTGGTATATTTTCCCTTAATTATCACACTGGCAAACAATGTACACTCTTTTGTAATGAACTACCCATATACATTCCTATAAGGTAAAAGGGTTATGGCCTCTATATCACTCAGTGAAGTTATGTGGAACAAAAATAATCATTTATAAGTGGTTTCAGTTTTACCTTTTTGATGGTTTACCTCTACTAACTCCTAGTAAAATATAATTTCTTCTGTTACAGCTGATGAAAAAAATCATTATGGCTTTAAAGCATGAGACTATAAAAAGCTGCAACTAGTTTAGATATCAGTTAGAAGTTAATTCTGAGTCACTGCAATTGAAAACATCAGTTTACAACATTTACTGGGTTGCTATAAAAATGTATTCCCCTGTGTTACGTTAAACATGAGAAATTGCACCTCAGTGTTTCCATTATTTATATATTTATTCATATCTTGCTGCTTTTGATTCAGCTGTGTAAGTGTATGCAAAACAAATAACTACTGGGGAACAGAATAATTTGTATTTTGAGGGGAATAAATATCCTGAAGGATATTTCTTGTGGGTGTGATGGCACCTATAAAGAATCACATGGATTTTGCAGACAAAATATGAGAGAGAAAAAGTAGATGAGATATTTTGGGCCCAGCAACCTTGACATTGGTCTGTTATGGAAAGGAAATTAATTGTGTTTTTTTTTTAAATCCTCAAACAAATTCACATCTTGATACACAGTGTGAGGCCCCTAGCATATTTTACAAAGGTCCTGAAAAAGATTTACTATCAGTCCCATACAAATAGAAGGACAATGGGTCAGACCCTGGGGACTGTTCATGCTGCACCCATTACCGCTCTAGGGGTAGGGGAATTGGAGATGGGGTACAAAGGTAGCTATAAGCCCCTTTACATTGCCCTGATCAGTCCCAGGATTGTTAGGTTCTGGTCTGGTCTCCACTGCAAGACAGAACAGACAGACCTGCACTGTCCTACACCTGGGTGCCTATGGCCTCCAAGGACAGTTTCAGCAGCTAAGGTTTGGCTCGAAGTTATGGCCCCCTGTGCTGGGAGTTAAAAGGAATGGCATAGAAAGTGGCCAATGAAAGATATTTATTTTTTTAAAAGGCTATTGATTGTCCATCAATCTTTCTATTGAAGACTGGAGTCATGGCAACAAAATAACATATTTTATTTAAGAAACATACCCAGCAAAGTCATAAATGTGACTTTTGTGACCAGCCATTTCTGGGACAGAAATTTCTCCCCCTTTGTAAATTCTATTTTATTTCTCCCCCTCTGTAAATTCATGGAGTGCCCTGCATTTGACTTATCTTCTGCTGTTCTTCATGTCCTCTACACAAAAGATTCTCATGTAATGAAAACCATGTTGCTAGTTCCTTTAGTGCGATCCAGAGTTGCTCCTGAGTCACCTAGAACTGTAGCTTCTGCTGATATGAAGACTTCCTGCCTCACGGATAACATGATGTGAGGCCCTACTTGCTCCAGAGCCTGATTGGCGTGGATCTCCCAGTACACAGAAAGGTGACATGAGACTGCTTTCCTTGGGGATGAGTGACACAAATCCCCTCCTTTCCTCTTTTTTCCGCCTGCATTTATTAACTGTAGAATCCAGAACAACAATGGGCAAATATTGAAAAGTGGGAATGAATGTTTGAATCATCACAAACTCATGGGGCTGTTTGAGACCGGTTAGATTTATTTTCTACGAGTGTTCATGTGGTGGTTTGTTGGTTTGCAAGGATATTGGTGGAAAGTCTCCCAAATATTCATGCCAGAAATGTTTGCAGAGCCACCTTGAAAATGACTAAAGCAGCCCTTAAGTGGTGCAAAGAGAGTACAGCAGAGCAGTGAATCTGCCCCAGGGAGCCTCTGAAAAGTCCAGGATGCAGGCTCCTGAAGCTGGCTCTGAGTGACACAAAGCACTTCCACTCCCAGGGCCTGAGTGTGCTGCTTCAGCACTCTGTGTCTGCCTATCAAAGTTAAATCTTGCACGTGTGTGGTAATTATCCATTGCAATTTTCTATCTCCCTATCTTGGGTATTTATATGGCCTTTTTTACTGTAGTATCTGAATGCCTCACAATCTTTAATGTATTTATCCTCACAGCACTCCTGCAAGGTAGGGAAGTGCTATTATCCCCACATTTTACAGATGGGGAAGGGAGGTGCAGAGAGGATAAGTGATTTGCCCAAGGTCACACAGGAAATCTGTGACAGAACAGGGACTGCTTTCAGATCCCATGCCTTAATAATCCTTCCTCTCCTATTAGTCTGCCATACTGGCCCAATCCTTCCCACATTCAGGATGAGTCCTTAAATTATTCTTATTTTGAAGGCACTGTACAGCCAAAGACAGTAATAGTACACACACACAGAGAGAAACATAAATAGTTGATCTAATATATTAAAAGTAAAAATAATACTAAAAATTAAGAAGCCTTCTATCTCTTATGATCACAGTGTTTGCCTTAGTGAGTGGGAGTCATTTTCATCGGGACTAGTCATATGTTTTTGTTTTTCTTTTCTTTCTTTGGTGGAGAAGTTTTCTAAGGTATTTTTCAAACTTTCCAGTTTAGTAGAGTGTTGGCTCAGATTGAAAAAGAGAACTGGGCACTAGGTCACAGGCAGAATTAGTGGAGGGGGCAGGTTGCTGACACAGCTACAATCAGACAAAAACATTTCAAACTTCTGGCTTTGTACTTCTCAAATGCCTCTCTTAGAAAATCGCTTAAGTTGTTATTAACATCCACCACCCACCTTCCCTTTCTGGTCCTGACATTGTGTAATAATAGATAATGTTGACATATGTTCCCTGCTGGTCAGAAATACTATACTTCTGTGAAAGGTAAAATTTTCAAGCAATGACAAAATGTATTTTGCTTGGATAGAACATTAGTTATTGGCTTAATCTCACAATGTGGGATATGGGGTAAAAGTTTGAATGTTTTAGTTGTGGGAGAGAGTTTGTTGGGACAGTGAAAGCATCAGTATGGGGTGTATTTAGTTTTTGCCATTTCTAGAGGTACTGGCTTTGTATCAAACTCTTGTGTCCTTAGGAATTTAAAAGAAACATTCCCAGTATGTATGAGGAACAGCTGTCTATGTACTCAGTGCAACTTTTCAAAATGACTATTTGAACATTTTCTCTAGCAGGGATTACAGAACAAAGTTACATATGTGTCCATTCCCCACCCTCCACCTACCCACTGGATTCTTTTTTACAGATCCGTTTTTAAAGCCTTAGTAACTGTAAAAAGCTCTAAATTTGTATATCTATTTCCCATTAGGCAAAGCTGTCTGAAAATAGAAAAAGAGGAAGAGACTGCAAAATCTACCAAACAAATATGAAGAAACTGTTTTTGAAAGTAATTTAGGGTGAGATTCAATAGAAGTGTGTCTAGTTTGCACGCTACTGTGTCTGCACAAGATTGTGCATGCCTAGAGAAACAGAGTATTATTTTAAGTTATGTACAGGTTTCCCTGCTGGGGAGCTGGAAAGAATGGTTTATTTAATCTGATCTTTTGCATTTTATGATAGTCTGAGCTGGTGTTAAAAATCCAGAAATTAACATGTTGGTTTTGTAACTTTCGGAACTAAACATCTCTTCTCTGATTTTGTTCTGAATGTATTGTCTTTCATCACCTTAAAGCTGGGGTGGGGTTAGCAGCTACAGAGCCAGGCATTAGGCTCTGGTTCCATTTCTATTGCAGGGTGTAGGCCAGCAATGCTAATACAGTTTTAGAGGCAAATCCCCAATTCGGCATCCAGCCCATTTAGCTGGACTGGGTAGTGAGGAAATGCACTAGGGTGACAAAAAGCTTTAACCCCCCCCTACCTTCCCCGCCCCACACACACATAGGCAAGAATTAAGAGAAAGGCAGGAGGGTCCTCAGGCCCACCTGGGCTCTGCCTGCTGCAGGCTGTCTTACAGATATCCACCACGGAGTTGAGCTTCCACCATGTAAGAGTGAGTATCTTCTGTCTTACTTCCAAATCCTTCCCCCTCCCCATACAGTGAAATCACATCTGCCAGGGGCCACCTGCAGTTCTTGAGGTGGGGACAACATTTACCCCTTGGTCCTTCCACATACGTACATTCCCACTGATGATCTGGCTAATAAATTCTCTTTCTCCTTCCCTCAGGAGATAAAGAGCACACTTAGAAAACATGGGCATGACACACATACAGCAGTAAACTCATATCCACCTGAATGGGCTTTGAGCAGGAGTTTGGCATTCTCAACCTGGGATTCATGTTGGCCTGAGATTGGTGGCATGTTACCGTACACTTCTGACAAGGTTAGCAGGATGTTCCAGGTATGTTTATGCTACACAGCATTGCCATGATCCTTGCCTGAGGGGAAAGACATACATGAAATAAGGAGCCCTGAAAAGAAGAGGACGTAGGAGCTGTGAGGCTCAGGAGGACATGAGCATGCTGGACCAGGAAGATGATGAGGGAGCAAGGACACCAGCTAGCATTTCCTGAGCCCCCTGATTCTCAGAGACAGTCTGATAGTCAAGGTGAGTAGGGGTAGATTGATTATTGTGCATATGTATTTGATTAATGGGAGGGTAGTCTAAGCAAATATAGTCTGTGTGATAAAGACATATGGGTGAATCATAGGTTCTTTAACTACAGTTAGTGCAGAGCAGTTAGGTGGCTCCCCCTCTACTGCAGATGGATAGACATCCTGCCATTCTGGGTTGGTGGTGCACAGGGGGCTCTGGCTATGCAAAGGGTGGAATCATTTGCGGGATGACTGCAGTATTTCAGGGTTGAGCATGGGTTTCTGCCTTACTCCTTTGAAGAGGTAATGAACTGCAGTTGCTGAGGGAAGGGCGTGCCTCAATCAGTCTGCATACCGGGGACTATTAGCACAGCCTTGGGGGTGAGTAATGTAGAACAGAGGGTGTTGCTGTGTCTGGCTTAGCAACTGCCTGGCAGTGTCCAGAAAGGATGCTGTAGAATCTGCAAGCATGCTTTCAGCCCCTGTCTTGGACAAAACACACTGATGTCTGTTCTCACAATGTGAGGGGAGACTGGTAACTCCTATTAATGCTAATGGGACTTGTATGCCAAATATCCCATAGATCAAAAAGAGAATAGACTGCATGAAGGTAACAAATGGATGTGCCAGCAACTCCTTGTGTGATGGGGCTTTAAGGACTGCATTTGTCATCATAGTTCCTTTTATAAAACTGAATATGTGCAGGTTTTTGTCTTTTGGAGGGAGCTCGCTTTCTTAAAGCCTAAGGGACAACTTGCCCAACAGCTCCCCCAGTAGCTCCCCATTCATTTCAGCTTCCAGATCAGAATCACCCTATTTGTTTTCCAACTCTTTCTGTGCTTATTCTAGGCTATGTGGCTCGGCTCCATTCTCAGTTACACCCACTGATGTCAGTGGAGTTGCACTGGTGTAACCAAGAGAAGAATTTGGCTTCTCATCTTTTTACTCCTTTCCTCATTTTGTCCATTTAACACCAGCCATTTCCGTCTCTTCTCAAAATTCTGCCTTTGTTGGTGTGAGAGTCTTCCACTCTGTAACTCCTGCCTCATGGTACAGCCTTACTGCTTCATATTAAATCTCAGCTGATAACTGATCTGTTCTCCTCTGCCTCTTCTTCCCTCCCTCCCTCTGCTCTCTGTACAATGTTTTGTGATCCAGTTTGTATGAAAACACTGGATAATAAAAAGTCCTATAGTATTAATTTTAATTCTTTTTGGTGCATCAAATCCAATAATGTATGTTACTTCATCCTCTAATCTTCCCTTATCTATGATAATGCATAAGTTTTATTTTCATTAATTGGGGGGGGGAAAGTACTTCTTTAGTGGTTACTTCCTGGAGCTAAACTATTATCTTCCTTAAATACAGCTGTTTATATTATGCATAACATATTTCCTGTCATAAGAATATATTATAACTCTTTGAAATACTTTGTGCTCTCAATTAGCATAAGTTTCAGTTTAGCTTTTATTAAAAAAATATAGTGAAAAAGGCCCAGGGAACAGCACTTTCTATTGCCCCTTAGTAGAACTGGCTCTGAAGTGACCTCTGGCTTCTTGGGATGGAGCCAGCAGTGCTGCAGAGCTGGTACTTTCAGCTTTAGGAGAAGAAAGCAAGTGTTAAGGGTAATGGGTGGAGGCAATAGGATTTCACACATCTGTGTCATTACAGATTTAGGGTCTAATTATTTGCATTACAGTAGAGCCTCATCTGAGATCACAGCCCCGTTGTGACAGTCCCTGCCCCAAAGAGCTTACACTCTAAATAGACAAGAGAGAGAAAAGGTGGGAGGAGAAACAGAGACACAAGGAGGTGAAGTGACTTGCCCAAAGTCACACAGCAAGTCAGAGCCCAGATCTATGATTTGGCACATTTGCAATTTATACTTAACTCTTAAATGCATGTCTTTACAAAACAGGGTGCCATTCGGAGGTGATATCTAAGGTGGCGTGAATTGCACATTGTGAATGGGTATACAGAAATAGAGCCCAGGTCTGCTGTGTCGTCTGTCTAGTGTCCTATTCACTCGACCACACTGCCTTTTTACCAGTCCTGAAGTAATCCTTACTCATATAAGTAGTGCTAATGAAGTCAATGGGACCAGTTTCTGGAATAAGAATTACTGAATGTGTAAGGTTTTGCAGTGTGAAGCCCTTAGAGGTGTCTTGCTGTCATTTCAGTGACTGCTACTTTTTCTCTAAGGAAGGGGACATGGAATGAATAATGAGGTAACTGAAAGGCACAACATGGCTCCTTGGGACCACTGAGGGAAGACCTACATTTGGTTATAAGAATTCCTCTTCCACGCACCTCAACTCTCCTGATAACTAATTTAACACATATATCATGGTAACATCCAGCAACCACAATCTGGATCAGGGCCCACTGAGCTAAGCTCTTTACTAACACATGTGAAGAAACAGTGTGAAATCCTGGCCCAGTAAAGACAATGGCAAAAACCCTCTTGACTTCAATGGGGTCAGGATTTCACCCATGTCCCTATCTTGAGTTTACAAACTAAGAAGACAAGTGACATATGAAAGGTGCAGAGAAGAGGGATGCAGTCAAATATATACATTTGCTGTACATGGACTATATAAGAGTTGGGTATTAATATTGTTTATTATTACTATTTTTGAGAAGTACTGGTCCTGCTTCAGTGCAGGGGGTTGGATTAGATGACCTCTTGAGGTCCTGTCCAGGCCTACGTTTCTATGATTCTATTATTCTACACAATTTACAATTCTGACAATTTATATTGAAGAGTTAAGTCTATGTCTTTACAAAACAGGGTGCCATTCAGAGGTGATAGGTAAGGTGGTGTGAATTGCTCATCATAAGTGGGTATACTAATTTAGACTGCCTGGGCCAAAGTCATCCCTTGTTTGACTCTTAAGTCACTCTGTTGAATTCAGTTGAATCAAACTAGGGATGATTTTGGCCCAGGGAATCTAATCTGCTGTAAACCACATGCTGAGGGGCAGATGAAAAAGGTGCAGTAGGAAAAGTAACTGACAGGTGTAAGGAGGTGTAAGTTAAAACCTGGTCTTCCCTTGCTACTTTAGCTTGTACCATTTTTAGGCCCCTCAGTATGTAAGCAACACAAACTCTCGTGCACTCACATACACTTACAGGTACTTTTGCAGAGGTGATCAAATCACCTCTGAATTTGATCCCCTCCCGCCCCCTGTGTTTATAAACAGATTTATGTTACTCTCTGCAGATGTCACAAAGTCAATTTGATTAGTTTACATTGTAGTTGTGCAGGGTAGGTCATAGTTAGCTTGCTTTGAGTCATGTTAATTTTAAATTCTACCTTTAACAACTCAAAAGAGTAACACACAGCACTTATAAGGTGCTTCACATCTTAAAAATGCTGCATCAATATTATTGAGCTAATTAATTGCTAATTAATTAGTTAATTGTTTTCATGTATATGGCTTCATAAATAACTTTCTAAAAGGGTTGTGACATACTTGTACCATTCTTTTTTATGATAGCTGGAAAAAAAATCCTGGAAACATATGTTTATTTTTTCCTCTGCTTCTGACCACTCTGTTTGGAAAAACTGCCAAGTTTGACTCTAAACTTGCAAATACAGTAACTTTCTTCTTTGAAAATTTGAGTCTATAACGTCTGGAGCAGCTTTTGGTAGAAAGGATTGTTATGTTACTGACTCTTATGATCAATTTCATTTTCTTAAATCGATTTCATACACAAGGTTAACAGAGAAGGTCCAAACAAATGAATACATGTGCATTTATCTGACAGTATTTCATATACAAATAATGAAAGCAGTACATTATCAATTCTCCTTAGTAAGAAGTATTCTTCATGTTTTTATAAAAAGTACTTAAGAGCTGACTTTGAAGAAAGACTTTGAAAACTTGCCAAACCTTCTTTGTATTTTGAAAGTCCACATCAAGAAAGTAGTAAATAGTAATTGAGTGTAGGAAAAAGGAAACTATTAGCATTGTTTTCTTTTAAAGATAAAAAGAAAAATGCAGTGCAAAACTTCATAATCTCTGAAAATGTGTATTTGTTATTTGAATCAATTTAAAACAATTGTCACTATTAACTTCATGTTAGCTTGCCTACTGAACTGTACAAAATGGCTCTATATCTGCTGGCTTCACGTATGTGAGTTTCCTTCCCCCCCCCCACTCTTTGGAGTTTTACAGTTTTAAATTATTTCCATTTAATTGCAGTTAGAACTATACTAAGACTGTGCTTAAAGTCCAGGATTGTTCAACCTATATTCATTTTTCTAATTTAAGGACACCGATGCTTGCTTTCCATAAAGCAATAGTTCTTCAGAACTCCTTTCGTGACACCCCATTTTTATTTAACTAAACTAAAATATCCCTGCTTTTTGTTTAATATGTAGACAGATACTGGGCCAAATTTTTTGCTGGAGTAAATTGGTGCAGCTCCTATTCAAGTCACCACTCTACACCTGCAGAAAATGTGGCCATGTGACTTCCCGAGAAGTTATTTTTAATAAATATTTTGATATTTGTTTAGTGTGAAATTGCTCAAATGTAGATCAGCTGTGTGCTTGGAAGGAACTATAGTGAACCCTCACTATATACTGCAAAGGTTACAAGCTATCTCTCATGCTTGCACTAGTTACAGGAATTTATATTGTGTAATTATATGTAATCAAGTGGTTAACTTGTCTTTTATCACTGATAATGCAGGTTGTACTTATGCATATATTAATTGCAACGCCACTAAGCTGTCCCATGTGTGAAGTAGTATTCTGAGGAACTGCCTGTTCACTTTAACTTGAATAAGTTCAATACGTGTTCAGCTGAAAAGGAATCTACAGTGTATTTAAACTGTGAGAAACAGACGTGTGCACTGGAATTCTGGGTGTGGTGTAATGGATAGCTGCCATTTAAAAATGGAACATTTGCCAACAATTTCCACACAGGTGTTCAGAGATTATTATGGTGGACATGGTATAAGAACCAAGAGAGGGAGATGGGTAGGTAGGCACAGAGCTGCATACAACTGATTATAAATTTTGATTTTTTTTAATGGGGACCACTGTATTATCTATATAGAGAAAATATATATTTGTGTATAGAATGAAGGTGGGATTGCACCACAGGTTTTACTGGCATGAGTTTGAGTGACTACATTTCTTAAGAGTTGAAGAAAGATGTTGGATTTTCAGAGTTTGCGAAGATCCTTTCAGGCTTACCAGTGAATCATCGCTTGTTTCCATCTCATTTTCACACATGTTGGCTCTGGATATTGACTCATCTCCTGCTTTTACTATGTTCAAAAAGTTTTTATTTAATTTTATAATACTCAACAAAACATGACACAGATAAAACTGCGATATACAATACATGAATAGAAATATAATGCGAACATATGTGAAAATGCTATCATATTATCTGTACCTCCATTTGCCCATTGGTAAAATGGATTTAATGATGCATACCTAAGAGATGAGTTACAAGGCTTAAGTCAGATCATACCTTCCTGCCCAAATATTTGTGGGATGTTGACAAGATGACCAGCAAACTCTGGGGATTATGGGGAGAGGGTTTAACCAAATCTTCCGCTCAGTAGAGAGGCTTAGTTGTCCTATCGGTAGGGCAAGAGAATATAGTCTCACAACTCTTAACATCTGTGGGGAAGTGAATGCCTAGTTGTGCAGAGGGTCATTCATTTTGCTTTGCTACACGGGCTTCAACTTTGTTGGCAGAGCAATTCCTGTGAGTGTGGCATTGTCATAGGCAATAGGGAGGGATGCAAAGGGAATTAATGATGCTTCAAGCATTCAGTGAGAGCTGTTCTTCCCCATCACATACTCCCATACCCCAAATCCTGTGCTGGAAAACTCTGAAGTAGAGTAACTTCTTTAGGATCATAGAGCATTTGGGAGATGGTACCACAGAGCTGGCACTATCCACACCCCTATACTCAAAAGACATCCTTTTTGGACCATGCTCCTCTCTGCTTCCAGAAACAGAGGAGACAATCAGGGCCTTATTTACGTAATGTGTGTAAAGTGCCATGAGACTCTCAGATGCAAGTTACCAGCAGCTCATTATTATTACTCACTAAAGAAAAAAAATCTTGCTAATACTAATATTTCAGTAAAAATACACTCTTATTTTTCAGATTTTCCTTAGTTTGACAACAAAACTTTTACGCTTACAGAAGAAGTGAGATTTTAGAAGGGCCTTCTTCGGACACCCAACACTATGCAGGACACAGGTGAGGCAGAATTTCACATTTCTCTTTATGGCAAGGATGAATAACTCAAATGACTCTGCAAAATCACTAGCACAGAAGCTATGATTGTCTACCAAAAGGAAAATAGATCCTCATATAAGGTGAAATCCTGGTCCTACCCAAGTCAATGAGAGCTTTGCCACGGCTTTCAATGCGACCAGGATTTCACCCATGATATTTCAAAACGGATGTAGCTCCATGGAGTTGGGTAGGAACAGTTTTATAAAGCAGTACTCTTTAAAATAAAATACAATGGTCTGTGGTCATCCCTGGTGAAGCTCCAACAACTTCAGTCGCATTCTATCAGGGATGAATTTGGACCTGTGTGTTTATTTAGAGATTGTTTAAATGTTCTTTACCCTTCTAACTACAAAAGTATGCTGCATTATTCCTGACAGTGTTATAGTTCCTATAGGGGAGCAGAATTTCATCAAGTTAAACTTTTCTGTTTGCAAGGTTAAAAGAGGAGGCAGAAGGCCAGATTCACCTCTGTTATGCCAGTGACATAAAAAAGTTAGTTTTGGCTTTACACTGCTGTAATCAAAAGCAGAATTTGTCTTACAGATTTTCCATACATAAAGTTCACTTTGCTAACTCTCAATATATGAAGCCATAATAAAGCCACATTTCGTACTGAGCCACAATTTACCTAGCCATAATGGATTGGAGTGGTGCCTTATGGATTATCCATATTATCTATGATATCTCCATTCTAAGTGAGTACTACTGATTAGTACATAAAATAAATTGCATTTATTATTTCTTCTACTGCATATCTTCCTGTTGTTGCACCACATTCCTAAGCAGAGATCCAAATTTACCTTATTAAGCAATGATACAAATGATACAATCCTAAGTGTGTTTTTTGTTTGGTTTTTGCCATAATGGTGACCTCAACTGTGCATTCCTTGTTCACAGAATGAATGAATTTTCAGTGTGCAAGGAATTCTGGTTTGGGAAGGAACCAAGTGTGCAGTGTGCAAGGAATGCCCTATATCTTTTGGAAATACTATTCTGGAAAGATGCAGTTATCCTATCTGTTATTATGATAGCAAGCCTGAGTGGAACTCCCTGTCTCTCTGCATTATTCTGTTTTACCTTAGGTCACTGTTACTGAGTGGTTGATGAAATATGATTTGAAAATGTTCCTTAATGCCTGCTGCAAGGGGGCCCCACCCCATCCTTCCCTTATTTAAAACATTCCTAAAGCCATTTTCCAATGAAATCCCACTCAAGTGGACTGACTCACATCAGAAGACATTCCAGAAAGAAGAATAATTACGCCATTGCTGGAATTGATGTAATGGTGTTTTTCAGGATACTTTAATAGACATGAGTGATGTTTTGGCAGGCAGTTGAAATAACCCTAGATATCTGATTGCATTACTGACTGCAACCAAGGGACATCTCTGGGGAAAGAGCATTACTTGAGGTACTTTCTTCATATTTGTAACTTGCTGTAGTTATCTTTTAACACGACACAGGATTTTTTTTAAAAGACAGACATATTGGAGAGTTTAATGGAGAAGTATAACAAAATGTATTTACAAACTGAATTCTAAACATACACAGATTCCAAGAGACAGGCTTATGTAAACATCAACATAATTCTCTGGGTTATGTGCTGTTTAAAATAACATTCAGTTTTGGATTTAGCCCAAAAGGTTGTCACTTAACAGCAGCATTTCTTTTGTAATCTGTATGGTTTGGATTTATTATAATTTTAATTTTATCTTTAAAAGGTAATGGTTCTTTTCCCCTTCTTTGGAATATTCTGAACGTCACATTCATTGCTCTCAGTTATTTAATTGAGCTTTGTTACAATTTGACACTTGTACTTCTCATATATGTAGTTTTGGGGCTGGATGTTGATTAGCTGTAATGTAGACGAGTGGAGGATTGGTAGGCAGTAAGGCCCACGATGCCTGCAAAGCTGCATTAGAATGACATATGCTGTGACTCTGCAAGAGAGCAGCACTGGGGCAAGTGGAAAGGCAAGGAGTGGAGGGAGCCAGGATATGCAGGCCAGAAGAGAGGACTGCACACAAGTGAGTTAGGGAAGCAAACTGCCTTATTTTCAGGGCTGTAGTAAGTTATTTCCCTTCTCCCACTCCTGGAGCAAGAAGGGAGGAACTGTGAGTCAATTCCTTCCCAGTTTCTGAGGTAGCGCAGTTAAGTGCCACCCCATACTCCAGACTGTGCCTAAAATGCCTAACATCATCCTAATTTATTAAGAATCTCTCTCTTTCGCTCATAGAAATATGTTTATTCTTGCTCTCTCTCTCTCTCTCTGTATGTGTTTTAATACCATACCATAATTATCTTATTATTAAATGCAGTAAACACACTGGACCAAAATGTGCCCTTGTTTAACACCCACACAGCCCCACTGAGGGCTCAATCATTGCCTTCACATCTAAGCTATTTATTAAAAAAAAAAATCTGAGCATTGATGTTCCTTTTTTTTTTATTTCTCAAAGCCTAGTCATTTAACTACTCTCCTCAGGTAAACAGGTCTTTTTCTTGGTCTGGCATGCTGATAAGCCTTCACACTTGGCTGGGCCTGAGGTGCGTTTGTGCAAAGCCAGATTGTTTTAGTTAACATAATCAGTGAACTCACTGTTCTACCTGGATGTCTGGGAGAATTGCCAAGAGATTTCCCAACATTTCAATCAGAGACATAGGCTATAAAGCTGTCAGTTTTCTTGTAGGCCAATTTGCCTTTGCCATGGTTCTAACGTTCTATTCATTTATAAAGAAATCAGCCCAGGTCTTTTGGGGTAATATTTTATGCTGGTTTCAATTTGAAGAAAGAGAGAGAAAGAAAGAATCTTTCTTTCTTTCTTTACAAAATATGCATTTTTAAAGAGCATTTTCCTGTCACAGGAAAAAGTTTCACACTATGATTTTGACACAATAGAAAAAAAGAAAGCTTCCATTATTATTATTATTTTGCAGTGCTTGAGCCTGGCTCTCTTCATATATTGCCCCAATCTCAAGTGACTTTGTTCTTAAACAAAGAAATTGAGCTATTCAGGTCAAATATTCAAGTATAATATTGGTCTGAGAAGTAATTACAATCAGCGATATGTTAAACTACCTGAAAATAATTCACCTCCACAGCAAAAAAATATACCTACAAGTTTATGGATTTTAGGTCATTGTTATCCACCCTGCTTCCACTTGCTATAATAAATTTTGGTGAAATAGCTACTACTGAGTACTGAATTCAAAAGATTTGTTTTCCCAAGCATTCCATATTCACCACGTTGTGCCAGATTACATCATGTAACCTCCAAATATGTCATGTCACTTTTTTCAGATGACTTGATGCAGTGGGACATAGTATCACATCCACTTGAAATTTCTTTAATATTCTCCATGGGAACTTTTCGGTATTTGGTTCCTTGGCTGTTTTTCAAATGGATAGCTTGGTACATTTATGACTTGACCGGGCAATGAAAAGTGTAGATGATTCATATTGTTCAGCAATACTTCAAATTGCATTGAACAGATGAAATGCGTGACAGAAGTGGAGAGAGAATGCAGAGTATGGAAGCATAGCACTCAGTAAGCCTGCAGGAGAGGTAAGCAGAACCATCAAATATAGTTTGTAGGAGTTCTCCTGCTATTTAATGATTTTGAAGTTTTTTTAGGCCTGCAGGTCAACATCCCAAGAAGATGTCGGAGCAACTAAGAAGGAAGATCAAGAACCTGGGAAATAGGGAGAGACAGGTTCTCTGGAAGGGAAAGCTGGAAATGAAGCAGGTTAAGAGCTTCACCTGTCACAAAAGAATTACACTTGCAATAAGGCAGATGTCAAAAAGACAGTATTAGCTCGGAAGACTTCAAAACAGGTGTTTGGAAGAAGGAGAGAATCTCATTCATAACCTAAACTGAAAATATTCAACATAAACAGCATCTTACTTGCATCAAGACTATATCAAGGCTTGACAAATTCACCTGTCTGGTGCTTCATGCAGCTGATTTATCTGCCTGGACAGGTGGAAAACTGCCTAGACTTATCCGTGAGTAAAGTGGAGTTGTTAGTGCAGTGCCATTGAGGAAGTGCTTTCTCTCACTGCAACAGTCGGAGTAAGCATGTTACAGTGCTACAAATTAGCAGACAGTTTTAAAACAGTTCCCAAGCATTGAAATTAGAAGTGCTTAATGCAGAATTCATATTTTCTAGCTCAGTCACAACGGGACTCTGGTGAATTTAATTTTTATTGCTTTCATGTTGTAACAGTCATTTGTCTTTTGGAGGCAATCATGGGAGCAGCATTACAGCAGGACATATGAAGATTCTTGTTTGCATCTTGTAATCCTGATGATATTAATTCTTTACTCCAAGCAAATGCCACCTGGAAAATAAAATTCTGTTCTTACACTCGTACTCATGTTGCACAATACTCCCACTGAAATAAATGGATCTCTCGATAGAATAACATTCTATTCAATATGATAAGGGTAGGAGAATCCATAGATTC